TGCGAGAATCTTTCTGACTACTGAGCATGCATATTAACCAGCTTAACTCTTGTTTCTTGTTTTTAGTTATGGCAAATAATCTGGGTCAAGCCATTCCCCCTTCTCCCTGTCCTGTCTTCTGACACATATTTCTGCAAAGTCTGATTGAGGCTAGTAGAGCAATCTGTACCAACAGAATAGGCTGTGAGCTCCTTTAGGTGGGGGTTGGGAGCGGTGGGGAGAAGAACGCTTGGCTTAATGGGTTTTCTCTTTCTAGGGCTTAGGACAGTCACAAGCACAAAGTAAAAGGCTGTTAGATTGAATTGAATGGAAAGAAGTAGAACTAATCAGTTCATCATAATATCAAAACCACACACAAACAAGGAATATCTGCTATGCTGCTAAAGAATTAAATTAATAGCTAAAGCCCGGCCGGTGTGGTTTAGCAGATTGAGTGTTGTCTCATGGACTGAGAGTTCCTGGTTCAATTCCCAGTCAGGGCATATGCCCGGGTTTCAGGCTTGATCCCCAGTAGGGGGCGTGCAGGAGGCAGCCAATCAATGTTTCTCTCTCACATGGATGTTTCTCTCTCTAAAAAAAAATCAATAAAAACAAATTTTAAAAAATGAATAGATAATGCAACTTTTTGGCAGGGAGAGTAGGTAAGGATGTATTTTTTCCTGATCTTCAGATTATAGCTTGACCCACTGTATAATAATTTATTAAGAAATAAGGGAACAGAGGAAGGTCATTTTAAAGAAAGTCAATACAAACAGCATCTTTTTTTACTCCAATTATCATATTAAATTTGTTGCTTAGGAAAAATTAATTTCCAACAATTCAAAAATAAAAAAACCACAAGATAGTTGAATTTATAATTATATTTACCTAAAGGACAAAAAAAAATTAAGAGCTTCATTCCATTTCTCCTCACTAAAATTTAATTCCTTCCCTTTTAAAAAATTTAAAAACCAACAAAATTAATAATTAAGCCATTTTTAATGGAGAAAGCACACACACTAAAAATATAAATTGGATTAATTACCACAGACATAGGGGACATGAAAAGACTTCTAAAAGTTGATTTTGCTCAGCTCTATGCAAATAAAAAAGTTTTTAACGCACAAAATGGATGTCTTTCTAGTAAAATATTAACTGGCAATGTCATCTCCAGAAGAGACAATCAAAACACAGCAATTACTATGGGAAAAATGTGTAATTTTGTCAACCTCCCTACAAAAATAAACAAATAAATAGTCACGTGATTTTACCAGTAAATTCTACCAACTTTTTAAGACTAGATGACACCAAATGTTCTAAAAGTATGTAGAAGAAGAAAAACCTGCAGGGCCTCATGATGAAGCCAGCCTATAATTGATACCAAAACTCAACAATGGTAACACAAGACATAGAGCACAGATCCAACGCCCTTATGAGTATGAGTGCACAGACCTCAGAGAGTGTATTAGCAAACAGAGTCAACATCACATGAAACAACAGCATACCTTGATAAAGATTCATATAAGAAATTCAAAGATAATTCCATCTTAGGAGATTTATCTATATATTTCACCATATGAGTGTTTAAAAAGAGAAAAATCGCCCTGGCCGGTTAGAGCATCGGCCTGCGGTCCGGAGAGACCCGGGTTCGGTTCCCGCTAAGGGCATGTACCTCGGTTGCAGTTTGTCCCCGGCCCTGGTTGGTCGTGCGGGTGGCAGCCACTCGATGTGTCCCTTTCACATCGATGTTTCTCTCTCTCTCTCTCTGTTCCTCTCTCCCTCCCACTCTATCTGTGCAAAAAATGGAATGGAAAAAAAATGTCCTCGGGTGAGGATAAAAATAAATAAATAAATAAATAAAATAATAAAAAGAGAAAAATCATATGATCATTTCCATAAATGCTGAAAAAGAATTTGACAATTTCCACCATTCTTGATTGAAATGCTTAATAATATAGGTATAAATATATTATATCACATGCATATGATATAACCAGAAAGTCAATGCCGTGCAGGGAAATACTGGGATGTCTGCCTTTACCATGATAACCAAACATCATCATCTAGAGGTCATGGCCTCCACAATTAGACAACAGATAAATAAGAAGTATAAACATTGAATTTTAAAGATAGAATTAAGATTAATCATTATTTATAAGTAATATAATTAGACATCTGAAAAACTCAAGAAAATCACCTGAAAAAGTATGACGAACAACACTAAGATAGTTATGAACAAAGTAAATATTAAAAAATCATTAGTATTCCTGTTAGGAGAGCTATGATTGCCAATGTTTAACTAACCCTTTTTTGACTTACAGAAATGACAATTTCATAGGGGTCAGCCTAATACATACATATATAATGGTCACAAAAAGGACAAATTACTTCAGGATAAAAGAAATAATGTTTGCAATCTACACAAATAAAACTTTCAAAAACTTGAAGGGACACAAAACAAAACTTGACTGGAAAAGCACATTCATTTCAGGAGGCTTTAATATCAATATAGATGCCTACCTCCTCCCAAATAATCTAGAAATTTAATGATGTCAATGAAAGCACCAAGGTAAGTTTTTTAGAAGTAGAAGAACTGATTTTAAAGTTCTTAGTGGAAAACAAAACAAAACAAAACACCCCTCAAATAACCCAGACCCTTACTTTTAAAGAAAAGAGAACAATGAAGGAAAACCAGCCCTACGAGACAGCATAACATTATAAAACTATCAAAACAGGTGCTTTGTGAATGAAGTCAATGGAATAGATTCCAAAATCCAGAAATAGACTCATATATGAATAATTTTAGCATGATAAAAGTGGCATTTTAATTAAATAGGGGAAGGCTTGATTATTCAATAAAAATGTTTCATCAGTTTACTGAGTATGTGAAAAAAAAAACACACAAAAATCTTCACTCTATACATCAATATAAATTTATTTTTTGGAGACTCTGGTGGGATTCAAATATACCAATATAAATTTGAAATAGATCAGTAGATTTAAATGTCAATAAACTGATTCAGAAAAGTACTAGGAAAAATACCATGGAAAGGTTTTTTTTATGAGTAAATACTTAGGAAGTTATTTGGAGGAAGCAAGTATTTAAAAAAAAAATCTCAGGAAAGTCCTCAGAAATATGATTTCGGGACTAAGAATTGGAGACTGGGTTCGCTGAAACCTCTGATGTTATTCTTGGAGGGTTGATGGGGGACCTGAGCACTCCCCGAGTGCCTGCTGATGCTGTTGGTACAGAAACGTATTGCTAATTTCATACTCTCATTGTGCAGGTCTTGAGTGGAGGGAGGTAGAACCCAGGTGCCATGGGATTACTTTTTCCTTTGAAATGCAAAGGAAATGAGTTTGAGCTTGTGTGTCCCTCCTCAGGGAAATCTGGGTAATTGAGGCATTTTCCAATCACCTCAGGATTTGGAGAATTAATTTTGTTTATCAATTGTTTCGCCTTACCACATGCTTTTACTATTTTGCATTGCTTTGTCCCAAGTGAGGAACATCAGCTCTTTCCCCCTTGTTCCCACTCAATTATCATCCACGCAGGCATCTGTGTGTTTGGCAAATTTGACAGACAGTTGCTTGGTTTCATATCCCTTGGAGACCCTTTTCCCAGCTTCTATCCCAAACCCTGGCTCTAGGGTTCTCTACTCCTCAGCTCAGTTCTCTTTATGTACACAACTATTTGATGTGTTCCTCGTTCTTCTGAGTTTATTCCACTGGTCTCTCTTGTCTCTTCATACACTATTACTTTTTGCTATGTCTTACTCTTCTTTTCCCTAAGATATTTCCTGGCTATTCTTGTCTATTTTTTTTCTATATGAATTGGAGAAAGTTTTTCTGGCTTCAAAAAACAAACAACAAACAAACACAAACAAGCGAACATGTCTTCCTTTTGCTTATAACATCTTAAACAAAGTGCTTTCTTATTAATTCTTCACAGCATCTTTGAAAACAGGGAAGGCACAAGATAATGGCATTAGCCTAATTACGTTTGATAGAAAGTCCTAATCCAGTTTTATATCCAGTAGATTTTATGCAAATTCAAACACAAAACAAACTTTTCTACCAGGATTAGATTTTCTCATAGCAAAAAGCTAGCACTGTGCAAGCCCGATTCTGCAGTGTGTCTCCTACATTCTGATTTGTGGCCAAGCACTGCTGAATGCATTTCAATCACTGAGTAACAATCTCAAAAGAATTTTGAAACCAGAATTGGCTTGAATGCTGTACAATGACACCCAGGATCCTGGCCTATTTCCCAGAATTCCTTTTTGGTTTTCTAGCAAGTTGGGTCATGCCTGGGAATTTGCTGAATATGGTGCTTGGACCAGTGACTTCCTGAATGTGACATTGGGATCAATGGCATTTGTCTGCTCATGGGTTTTAAGACTATTAATTTAAAAGAAATTTTTTTCTTTTTTATCCTCACCCTAGAACATATTTTTGCATTTATCTTCAGATAGAGCGGGAGGGATAGAAGGAGGAAGAGAGAGAAACAGCGACGTAAAAGAGATACATTGAAGTGGTTGCCACCCACACGACCCCAATCGGGGCTGGGGACAAACTGCAACTGAGGTACGTGCCCTTAGCGGGAACTGAACCCAGGACTCGCTGGTCCATGGGCTGATGATCTAACGGCTGAGCCAAACTGGCCAGGGCAAAAAAATTTGTTTTTAATTTATTGATTCTAGAGAGAAAGGGAGAAGGAGAGAGAGTGATAGAAACATCGATTGGCCGCCTCCTGCATGCCCCCCACTGGGCATCAGGCCCACAGCCTGGGCGTGTGCCCTGACCAGGAATCGAACCGGCAACCTCTTGGTGCATGGGTCACCGCTCAACCACTGAGCCACACGGGCCGGGCTAGGACTATAATTTGTAGACACACTGCAGTTCTTTACTGAACTCGTGCTCAGGAAGCCCTGGCTCCGGGTGCAGGCAGGAGCGGCAGTTTGTGATTGGTTAGGGAAGGCAGAGATCTTGAGAACGTTCTATGCGAATGCTGTTACATACCTGGGCACACTGGCATTGCAGCTGGAGGAGCGCCAAGCCTGTTCATAAGCATGTAATGGATTTAACAGCTCTCTTTATGCCACCTTTGACAAATGGCCACTCACTAAAGGTCAGCCAAGACTTGATAAACAGTTAATTATCTGCAGCAATCTGGGCACTTCCTGCCAGCAGCCTAGTTGGGTTAATATGGGGAAATATGCATTAGTTACTGAATTGCTCAGGACACACGTAGGTGTTGACATACGTTTGCGTGCATTTTTGGATTACATTTTCAAAACAAGTATTGTTTTCATAATTTTGTTGTTGTCCATACTTTTCTCCTCAATGCGATGTGTAATTAAGAGCTTACATAAGTAACATATTTTTTAAATGTATAGCAGTATGATATAGGTAACGTCTGAGGTTTTTGCTACCACATAAATGAGAACATTCCTTAGCTGGTTCCGTGTAACAAAAAGACTACTGTGTTCCGAACTAGAATGTTATGCAAGAATCTGAATAGCATAGTTCACTGAATGCTCAGCCTGTTCGGTGCCATACCAAAAAGTAGGACAAAGGCTAAAAGCAAAAATGTGGGGCAAGTTTTAAGCAGTGAAGTTAAAGGCATATGAATGATGAAACATTTAATTATCAAGGCAGAGGCCAGGTTGTAAAAGCCAGCTATAAAAGTATAAAGATGAGCTGTGAACGGGATAGCTATTTGATTCAGTGATCTCACTGGTTGATCATGAAGTGTTGAGCGTGAAGTGTTGCCAAAGTCATGGACTTGAACCTCTCTGAACTGAGAGTGGTGAAGGTGTCATATATCACTGGCCTTTTGTTCTCACTATAATGGCAACACCTTAGGCTATAAATATTAACTATTTATACATGAGAGATTAATGAAAGGTGAGGTAAAATGAGTAGCAAAAGAATATTGTTATGGTAAACTAGGCCTATGGCATTTTCAAGTCGAGACAAATAACACAAATTTCATAGTTCTTATATTAATAAGATTTTGTACAACCAAGTCATATGAGACATACTTTTTACAAACATGACTGTGCTCCTGAGTCCCAACATTTGACTTTATTATTAAGTTCTGTGGTCAAAGGCCTCAGCAAGTCTCCGATGAGTAGAACCCTGAGTCTGACAAGCCTCTGAAAATGTAAACCATGATTTAAAGGGAATTCTAGTTTCTCGACAACAGTTCTTTATTTCCCTAGTGACCCTGTACAGCTAAGAACCTTAGTGCCTTTATATATATTAATTATTCTAGAGAACTGTTTGAAAGATTTTGGGGTCTGAATTCTGGAAAAGACAGAGTGATTATGACAGATTACAACACAGGGTATTTTTCAACCTCCTTAAACCTAGGGAAGGTGGACTGACCATTTCCAGGACTATTTTACTCCTAGGTAAGAATATCTAGCTGCTGTTTGTACTGAAAGGAACACAGATATGATTACACTCATTGGGCAACTCACTTGTCAAGACACCAGCCATTGTGCTCATGGCCCTGAAGAAGGCAAAGCAGGATGTGATCACTAGTTTCTTCTTCTCATGAAATATGCTCGTTTCTATCCCACTTGCAAGCACTGTGGTTGTTTTCCCAGCAATCGAGACCACGAGCAGGGGAATTAGCTAGAATTCTGACTCCGTTACAATTCTCAGGCCTCTGTCTGGACACGTGGCGTCTGGTCCTGAGCCCACCTGGAATGTGGTCCCACGCTGCTGAGGGCGAGCGCAGAGGGCCCACCCACGGCCGCGCCATCACTGCCTTGTAGCTGTGGCCAGGGTCTATCGACCTGATTAAACCTTTCTGTGTCTCGCTTGGTTTCCTTGTTGAGAAATAAGGCCTAACTACAATACTTACCTCACTGGGGCGCTGTGCCCATTAAATGAGGAAACACATCTAAGGCACCTAGAACAGCGCCAGTCTTGTTAGATACAAACTGGTCAATGTTAACGACTTTAACAAAAGCCACACGATTGAAGATGTGATCGATTTGGCAAGTTAGTTGGCTTCCACCCCTATGTGTGTAGATGAATCCTTAAATCCTTAAAAAAAAATTTTTCTTTTTCCTTTATTGGTATGAGAGAGAGAGAGAGGGAGGAAGAGGGAAAGAGAGAGAGAAACATCAATAAGAGAGAACATTGACTGGCCGCCTCCTGCATGCCCCCCACTGGGGATCAGGCCCACAACCTGGGCATGTGCCCTGACCGGGAATCAAACCGGCGACCTCTTGGTGCATGGGTCGATGTTCAACCACTGAGCCACACTGGCCGGACAAATTCTTAAACCTTTTTAGTTCAGAGAGGAAAATGAGCAGAGAAACCTTTGAAACGTGGTAGTAGCAAATCTTTATAATCATGAGAAAAATTGAGAAAAATTCCCAGGATTTGAGGTGTCAGAAACAAATGTCCTCCAACTTGGCGTTACTCTGGGCAGGGGGTTCAGACAGCCCCAAACAGGACGCCTAGGTAACATCCCATTCGCACTACCTGTGTGAGTGCTGACTCTCAGATACTCCTGTTCTTCGCTGTGCTGGAGTATTCCTTCCCACAGAAGTCATCTTTAGTACAACACGTGGTCAGTCAACCATCAGAGGCAAAGGTTTTGTGGAAGGACTGATCTTGGGGTGTATTTACATGTAGGTACAAATTGGTGATTTTGAGCCTCAAAAAGGTTGTGGGTCCAAAGTTAATGGCTATTTGAAACTTTGAATGCATTCCCTCTTTGTAAACAAAACACAACAAAATATAGTGTCTCTCACAAAGGCAGATTAATTGACCAACTCTCACTTCCCATGAACCCCATCTTTTTTCTTTTTCTTTTGTTATGTTTCTGTTGCAGAGGGAACTCATTACTGTCTGGTGTAGAGAAAACAGTCCGCAGTGGGGCGGACCTGCACGAGCACGGGGACCGCACCCAACTGTGAGTGCAGTGATTACTTGAAAATAAGTGCAAGTTCAGTAAATGGGGGGAAATGATTGAATTCTGGGGTGAGAGGACAGCAAGTGCAAAGGTAGAGAGCTGTGAACATGCTCAGTTACACTTAGGGAACGGCATACGGAAAGACGGAAATACTTCTTGGTCTCTGCAGGACACGGTCACCAAGTTGCCATGGGGCACAGGTTGGGGAGTGCCTGGAACCCTAAATACCAAGTCAGGCATTTTCAGTTGGCACAGGTACAACAATCGGTCTTTTAAAACAGTACAGCCAAGCTCTACTTTCAAGTTCACCCTTAAGAGCTATTTTAATTTTGCTTTCTTAGGTTGTGAAAAAAGCGAAGTTCCTTTTGTCTGGTTCCAGGTAGTTTGCCTTTTCTCCAGGCCTCTCCCAGTTCAGCAATTTCCATGAAGTTTGGACAAATAATTTTTCCACCAAGAATGTGAACTCCGTGAAAGCAAGTTTTTATCTTTTTAAATTCAAGGCGATTTCCAGCACCTAGCACCCCTGCATCAGTCCAGATACACATAACTGAATACACTGAAGCACTTACACGTGATGCCCTGTAGACGGTCCAGTGATGACTAAGGTATGCTCCCCACCTTTAAAGAAGCGGTCAATGAGTCGGAATGAGACCTGTAATCAAACCCCAAATCAAGGCAAAAAGAGTGCAGTGCAACTACTAAGGTAGACATCATTAATGGTGGCACTATGAACTGAACCTCTCTCCCCAAATTCAGGTTGAGACCTGATCCCCAATGTGACAGTGTTTGGAGGTGGAGCCTTTGGAAAGTGACTAGGTCATGAAGGTGGGGCCCTCCTGGATGGGATCAGTGCCCTTATGAAAAGGACCCCAGAGAGACCGTGTCCTCTGCAGTGAGGAGACAGCCTGCAGCCAGACGGGCTCTCGCCAGACGCCGTACCTGCCGGCGCCGTGGTCATAAGCCATCCAGCTCGCTCCGTGCGCTGCAGCAGCCTGGACCGCGGGGACAGGAGGCTCACAAGCACTTAGCGGCGTCAGAGGATTGAAGAAAGGCTTCATGAGACGCTGTCCTCAAAGAATTTCCATGAGATATGGAGATTATTTTTGTTCAGATGATTACTAACTTGAACTCATCTGGATCCAGGAGACAGAAACCCATCTCAAAATAGAAACCCATCTTATGCTAATAAAAGGGTGTAACTGGGAAATCCAGGCAGCGTCAGCTTCAGCCCCCAGACCTCTTGCCCTGTCCACGTGTGTGAATTCCCTGCTCTCCCACTGCAGGTGGACACAATCCACGTTGTGGGAGCAAGGGAAGGAGTTGGGCCACAGGTGGCTCCATGCTCGTATCACACCACGTGCCCCTGGATTATATTTACTAGCCATAGAAGGCTACCTGCATTCCAGGGCCAGCAAATACAGTCTCAGGGAAGGCGGCTGCTTGGGCTCGGTTGGGCCACGTGCCCGCCTCTGAGCTCACGGGGTGGGGGTACGGTACTCACCACCTGGCTGTGCACACAGTGCTGGGATTGAGCGGTGTCCATAGGGACTTACACGAAGCAGAAAATGAGTTTAGCCAGGGGTGAGGGAAGTTGCAGACATGCTTCTAGAGGACTGGCAGCCCTATTCGAGCCACGTGGTGTGAACAGGGATAGGGCAGCATTTCATAAGGAGACGGGGAGGAGACCCAAAGGAGAAATAGTTTGTTGGGCAGGTGAAAACAACAGGTAACCACAACAACAACGAAAATGCACTCTTAGGTGAATGGCATGCAATTTGCTGGGACAGAAGTCTGACTGCTGAAGACAGGCGGGGGCAGATCAGGCTGGACTTGGGTTGGACTAGGTTGTGGGGAACTTCCAGTGATAAATGCAGCTGTCAAAGGGCTTCGACCGAAGGAACACTGTAATCAGAACTGTCCCCCTACCCTCTTCTCAGAAACAGCTCTGGGCCTTATAGTAAACAGCTAACTTCCGAACTGTCTAAACTGTCCAACTAGCATGACCGTGCACTGAGTCTCCCCTTCCCGTTTGCCGTTTCTCCTGTCCACACATTGTCCCCTCAGTTCTACACGTAGTCCCTACATCCTGGTCATTTATCTTCCAATCTAATCATACCTCTTCAGGGAATGGATTCTACCTAAGCACTGCAACTCTGCACCAGCCAGAGGGTGGGGAACAGGAAGATAAATGGAGATGTAGCATTGTCTCAATCTACATGGGTTTTGGGGCTCGATTTCCTACTCGTCACCCCACATTCAGATTAGCCTGAGAACTGCGCCATGTTTTGAACCCTGGACTGAAGTCAGGCCTGACTCCAGGCTGAGATCAGAACGTGCCGATCTTTCCGCACGAGTACTTCATGCCTGATGTCCTCGAGGGAGCCAGTGTGCCACCACGGCCACCGACCCTCCTAACAGGTGTGGTGCCCACAGCTCATGAATAGGTGGGTTTCACGCCACTCATCGTTCATGAACTTTTGGGGAGGTTTACCGTGAACTGCACAGGATCAGGAAGTTCTGTTCCTAACAATGCTCAGGCCAGCCTGTCCTCGGAGGCTGTTTACTATAAGGCACAATTACTTTCTCTTGGTGACTGAGATGATAAATGGATCAATTTAGCTAGAGAAACAGTTGTAATCCAGAAAACTCCATTTACCTCTCACCGCCTTAAAATTATTCAGTGTGCATGTACTAGTTCCAACTGAGAAATATGAAACCCGAACAATTCTAAAATCAAAGTTATGGGTTCTTGTTTTGTTATTGCCATCCAAACTGATCATGCAGACAAAAGAGAAATAATCCTTCAGTAAAACTCAGGAGTCTGAGGAAATGAACCTGCCTTGACGACTGAAAATGAAAGGCAAGAAAGGAAAGGAAAAAGGCCACTTTCTTAGTTGTTAGGACAGTCACTGACAAAGCGCAGTACTGTTAAGGAGAGGGACCACAAGAAGTCACAGGAGCTGAGGAAAGAAAGATCTTGAGGGTCTCAGGAGAGACAGTGCTGGCTGCTTCTGAGAAATGTACCTAAGAGCACAAAGCAACAGCTGCCCCGGCTCCTGCTGGCAGAGTTTGTATGTATTACGACGGCCTTAGAACCAGAAAATGGCCATGCCTTTCCAACGCGAAGCGCACGGGAAAGCAACCATTTTCAGAGAGCAGCGGGGGCGGCAGGGGGTGGGGGTGCAGGCAGGGAAGATACGAATGACGCTCAGCAACCTCTGATGTCTCCAGGAGAAAGCAGTCAAGGTGAAGCATTAATACACTTGTTTTCCATCTTACTCCAAAGGAGCCCAGATGTAATCTTCCTCAAGAATAGCTTTCCAACAGATCCTAACAACTGAAGGGCGGGGAGGAAGCAAGCTGCACCCTGTCACATGTAAACGAAAAACCATAAGGTAACAGACAATGCTAAGCACACTCCCATCCCTCTTCCACACAAAGGCAGAGGAAAAGTCCATGTTAATGATTTGCCAAGAGACTATTTTTGGGGAGAACACATACACACACCAACAGCAGCAGCAAAACCTTTCTCCTGTTGGCCAAAAACGTGTAGTACTTAGGATTTAACATTTCTATTAGTTAACCTATGTTGGCACTGTCTTAAGAGGGACCTGCTTGTGGTAAATGGATAAAAGGCTCTATATGCACTATGGAAAGAACTGAGCAACTTGTTTCCCCACCTTTGTGTTGGTGACCAGAGTGAAAAACTAACAAATGTTTCTTGGATATTCTTTTTTTCTTTCATGCTCTTGCTTCCCTTTTTCCTGGGTACTCCGAACCTGGACATGAAAGGAAGTCTGTTTAGACCAGGTAGGGCACTTTTTGGAGGGTCTGGGAACAAAGGAGACCCACCAGGGAACTCGAGCCTAGAGACAGTTGTTGAGTTTGCAGCATCTGGAGCATCAGGTTACAGAGGGCTGGGGGAAAGGATGGAGGAGGCACAAAAAACAGAGCCCTGGCCGGTCTGGCTCAGAGGTTGGAGCGTTGGCCTGCAGACCAAAGACTCTCGGGTTCGATTCCGGTCAAGGGCACGTACCTTGGTTATGGTTTGGTCCCTGGCCCTGGTTAGGGTTGTGCAGGAGG